ATAATAGCTTATCATTTATATCTCCAGTTAGCATGTGATGGAAGTCACTTCATTTTCGATTATGTTAGTGGTTCTCATGTTGACAATGTAAAAAATAGTTCAACTACAGAGCACGCAGGGTCCCCACTGGTGAGTTTTGGAGGCACTTGGTAAATATAAATCTTTAAAGTATAAGGAAAGTATTATTTGATATTCTTTAAGGCAATAACAGACTCTTACTTTTTTTTTTTTTTTTTTTTTTTTTTTTTTTTTTTTTTTTTTTTTTTTTTTTTTTTTTTTTTTTTTTTTTTTTTTTTTNTTTTTAGATGGAGTTTCACTCTTTCACTGAGGCTGGAGTGCAGATGCGCAATGTCAGCTCACTGCAACCTCCACCTTCCAGTTTCAAGCAATCCTCCTGCTTTGGCCTCCCAAGCAGCTGGGATTACAGGCACCTGCCACCCCACCTGGCTAATATTTGTATATTTAGTAGAGAAAGGGTTTTACCATGTTGGCCAGGCTGATCTTGAATGCCTGACCTCATAGTCCGCCTGCCTCAGCCTCCCAAAGTGCTGGGATTACAGGTGTGAGCCACCGTGCCCGGCTAACTGATACCTTTTAAAAGAGACTTTAAATAATTTAGTAGCATAATTTTATTGTTTGAGATTATCCCATTTGCTGGGATAAGAAATTGAAGAAAATCAGGGTGACCCACTTCAGTGAAAGGATTAAAATAAAAAAGGAATTAAAAATAGCTTATCTTTCCATTGAGTCTGCATCCTGTAGTCTCGATACCAGGACACAAAGATCCTGTTTTTCGTTTGACAAAATAACAGAAGAGTAATCTTTTGGGAGAAGAACTCATAACTTTTAAAGTCAGTTGTATTCTAAAACATACTATTTGCAGTAAAATTATTTAACGTGGAAGGAATGTGGTTAAGGATACTTTATAGTAACACCCAATTTATAACGTGTAACATCTAAGAGCCCTTTCTTTTCTGAGACGTGTTCTAGAGAAAGATGATAATTTTAGAAGTTGGCTGCACAGTTCCTGACCCTATCTGTGCCCTGTCCTCCAGTGCCATAACATAGGGGACTTCACTGATTTAAACAAATGAAGTTCCCATCAAGATTTAAATATATATAAATTCTATATACATACAAAATTATCCACATATGCATAAAGAAGATCTCACTGGGACGCTTTCGTTGGCAGACACATATCTCATCTCTTGGTGTTTTTCATTTGTTATTTTAGGCATGCTGATGGAGAAGAGGGTTTTCTGTCTTCCCTTTTTATTTTTCACATTTCAGGAATCGGCATGTCTGACACAGACATGATCTGGAGGGTCTAAAGATTCAAGGCTTTAAATAGATGGAGGTGAGTAAGCCTTGAAACTTAGTGCAGCTTGATGGATATTTTCACACCATTGGATCCATTAACTTTTTGAAGTTCTTTGGACGTTAAAATGCTGAGAACTTTCACTTGTTAATTGTACATTAAATAGAATGAGTTCCTAGAAGGTTAAAACATTGATGTCAACTGGGCGCGGTGGCTCACACCTGTAATCCCAGCACTTTGGGAGACCAAGGTGGGAGGATCCATGAGGTCAAGAGATTGAGACCATCTTGGCCAACATGGTGAAATCCCGTCTCTACTGAAAATACAAAACTTAGCTGGGCGTGGTGGCACATGCCCATAGTCCCAGCGCCTGGGGAGGCTGAGGCAGGAGAATCGCTTGAACATGGGAGGTGGAGGTTGCAGTGAGCTGAGATGGTACCATTGGACACGGGAGGTGGAGGTTGCAGTGAGCTGAGATGGTGCCATTGCACTCCAGCCTGGTGACAGAGAGAGACTCTGTTTCAAAAAAAAAAAAAGAAACAAAAACATTACTAATCTCAGTGTACTCATTTTCACTATTTTAATTGTTCTTTTCAGTAGACAATTTTTGGTAAACTTCTTTTAAGATGATTGAAAGCAGATTTATTTATAGAAGGCTGCTAATGAATGTCCGCCAAACTCTTTCTGTTGGGGTGGGGGTGGGACGGACTTCCCAATCTTTAGAATCTGAAGTGAAAATCTTCCAGAACCAAGTCTATGATTTTTCCATAGACGGTTTCTCAGCCACTCTTACGCACATCCTGCCTCCTCTTGCTCACTTCTTACTGTAACTGACACTTGTAATGACACATGAGCTCTTCTATAATGCTTACTTGGAATCTTCACTCTCTGTGCCAAGCAATGGAGAACACATTGGGCATCGAAGGACAGGGGAGGAGACTGAGACCTGGACACAAGAATTTATTTGGTCTATTTATTTTTTGGAGGCGGAGTCTCACTGTATCCCCCAGACTGGAGTGCAGTGGCATGATCTCTGCTCACTGCAACCTCCACCTCCTGGATTCAAGTCATTGTCGTGTCTCAGCCCTCCTGAGTAGCTGGGACTACAGGTGCCCGCCATCACACCTGACTCATTTTTGCATTTTTAGCAGAGACAGGGTTTCACCATGTTGGCCAGGCTGATGTGAAAATTTAGACAGAGGGATGTCATTGTAGCTTTCTGAATTGGACAAAGCAAGGTTTTATATCTGCTCTACCTGCAGTTTTTTCCTGGATTTAGTTTTTACTTTTCACACATACTATTTCTTTGATAGGAAGGGTGCGTTTTTGTCACTGTGATTTCTTATGAAGGAATCATAGGGGATCATGGTGGCCTGTGTTCCTAAAGCCAACATGGCATCCTTAGGTTGCTGGCAGCACATCTACCTAGCCACCACTTCCATACAGCTGTATTCTGTAAGCTCCATACTCACTTTAAAAGAATCATACGTGAAGGCTGTCTTTCAGGTAAAGGCATGATGCAAAGTCAACAGAGCAAAGGCATGCTATCCTTTTAAGAGTTTGATTTTGAAAGTTAGAAAAATCCTGACTTCACCATGTATGAGCCCAGCAGTTTCCTTAACACCTTTGAGCCTCATTTCTGCATCTCTAAAGTGGAAATAGTAATGCACATATCCCATAGCATTGTGGTTTGAATGAGTTCTTGTGTAACATAGCTTGCAGGGTGAGTGGACACATTGTAGATGTGCTGTTGATGTTCCTTCTCTTTTCTTCCCATAAAGCCATCTGTCCAGTTCAACACACCCACTTCTCGTTAGCTGATAGCATACCTGTGGTCACCTTCTAGAATTTTTCAGGGTGCTATTCCACTTCTACCCTGATCACCAAGGGAATCTTGCCGGGGGTTCACCTTCTAGTCTTTTTCTTTTTCAGTTACTAGCTTCAGATGATTTTTCTCTGGAGGAATATCATGTTTGGAATGGCTAAGGAGACATGTACTTCCCAGAGCTGAAGAGCAGGCTTTTAATGAGTTCCTCCACTAGAAAAAAACGGAGGAGCCGGACCATGCCATGGCTCCCAACCTGCAGTTTGGGATTGCTGGTACCAGGCTCTCCAGGGCTGGATGTATGTGGGTCACTGTGTGTAGATGAGAAAACTGTGAACAGTTCTTCAAGTTGCTGGAGTGAAAAGTACAAATTAGGTTATTAATGATTATGTGGAGGTACCAGCTGACAGTCTATTTGTTTTCATTATTAAAACAAGTGTGGTTTTGGATTATGTAGATTTCCCCCTTTTTTACTTAGATGGCAAAGAGTATTCATGAAGGATATCCATCAAGACCATGGCAGTGATTAAGCCTTCAGAACTGCCCCCTGCAAGCTAAAACACAGGTTGAGAATCAGAAAATGAGATGGATTGGAAGCCAAATTATAAGCTCATTTCAACTCTTGGCCTGCAGGCGCTGAAGTAACATTATTTGTTGTCCGGGATGGAAAACAACTCAGATTTGGGTCCAAGTGATTATTTCACTTAGGCACTGTTGTCTTGCTGCCAACTGCAATTTGGTTTAGACATGGATAAATTGGCCATGCAGAGGCGGAAGTGGGTGGTGAGAGCGGCGCAGGCACCTAGTTGGGGTGGAGAGAGGGGGCCCCGGGCGGTTGGCAGCCCACTCCAACACTAAACCCATAATGAAGTAGGGTGAGAGTAGGTGGGTACAAAATGGACTCTAAACCTCTATAGTGATGCACCTCACACTTCTGCGGACTTTGTTCGTGTCAGTGAGTCAGAGAAAACCTGACATTATGGCATTTGGAGGCCATCCCCATGGAGAAAGTGGGGACTAGCTGTCTGCAGACATGAGACTTACCAGTTGGCCTTTGGAGCTTTCTGCTTTGGAGCTTTCTGGACCTGTTTTTCCTATTTTTTTTTTTTAATTCCTGTATGCGAAATGGGAGCAATTGTGTGTGTGTGTGTGTGTGTGTGTGTGTGTGTGTGTGTACACAAACAGTAACAGCAAATGTATATTTGTATATGTATATTGTATATATTTGTGTATGTAGGTATATAATAGCAAATATATGTGTAGATGTATATTTGCCATTACTCGAATTATAAAGACAGATGCGATAAAAATGACAATTCAGGAAGGAAGACTGTGTCTTGGTTAATCGAAGATAACATTATTGACATGAATTTAACAGGAAGGGCTTAATCCCTTTATAGAGTATTTTCCCTTTGCCTTTCATTCCAGAGTATTTTGCTCACACCTCTTTCCCGTTCTGCTTTTATCTAGTTGACACATTGATTTCCTCCACTGATATTCCCAAAAGACAGGGATGCACTGGGGCCGGTTGTCGCACCCTGCAAGGCAGGGGCAGGGCAGGTCCGGGGTTTTCACGGCCCCCAGGGGAGCGGGGCACCCGGTGGGACTAGCGCACGCCCTCTCCGCGGGTGTCGTGCTCACTGGGACGCGCCCACAGTTCTCCCCGGGGAGCGGGAGGCTCCAGGCGCGGCCGGGGTGCCCTGGGCAGATGCACTGGATCCTCACCACCGGCGCTGCGCGGCGGCGGCCCCTGGGGTGCCTGGGGAAAGCTGGCGGTCCTTCCTCCTCCCATCCTCTCTCAGGGTGTGCACTCTTTCCTTCCCCGGGGAAAAAGAGGAGGATTTTCTAATTTTTAACATTTGATTTCATGGAACCATTTTTTTTTTTTTTTTAAGTGATAGCGCTGAACGCAGTCTTTGCAGAGCGGGGCAGCACTTTCCCTCCTGACCCCAACCTGGAAACCCCAGAGTGACTTGGGGCTGTCAGAGCGTTGGAAGCAGAGCTGAGAGTTAGGAAGCGGCTCGCTGGCAATCCGGCACCTTTCCTTCTTGTGAGGTCAGCTTTTTTGGTTTGCTCTTTTTCACGTGAAAATGTTCAGCTTGATTTTTACATACCATTAGCCATGGTTATCATTTTCACTTGGTTATCACTATTTAAAGTCTTTTTTTTTTTAATAAACAATCTGCATTTTATTCATTGAAATAGAAAACAAATACCATCCTGCTTTTTGGGGTAGTACTTTTAGATGAATTGTGTTTTATATACTAGGTGACTTATAATTTTCCCATTTTGTAATACCACGTAAATTTAAGACATGGAAATTTACAAGGGTTGCCTTATATTATTTTATTTTGTTTTATTTTAGGTAACTTCCTATTTCAAGGAGACAAGCCAAGATAACTTTAACCCAGAGGAGGAATGATGTAGCCACCCTCTAGTCTTCCCTTCTTAAACCCCCAGGTAAGTGATTGTTTTCACTCAAGAAACAAACGTTTGCATGGTATACTTACTTTGCATTCAATATTCTGGTTATGTTTGAAATGTGTTAAATTTCATTTTACTTTCAATAATTTGCTTAATAACAAGTTATTACTTCAAGATTTTCCAAAATTATTACTTCAAGTTTTTCCAAAATACTACAGTTACTTAGCTCCATTAAATCCTTTTCATTCATTTCTTAAAGGCTGTAAGAGCTACATCTGTATCTAACTTTTCGAGCTTTCTAAGCATATATCTCTTCTCAGAGTGGCAAGTGACTTAAACCAATCAGAGAGCTGAAAGAGTTACATCTTTTTAAAAGAATTCACTTACATAGGAACATGTGTTCTCCCATTGGAAATTGGGACAGGATATTGAACTTTCTAAAATACTCACCCTACCATTAAATAGTTACTCTAATTTTGACTTTGCTACAAAATAATTATTTAAATACCGTGGTTTAGGTAATTGAAGAATGAGCTTTTTTTCTGACTTAAAATGTCTTAGAGGGACGCTGTCTAGAACTCTTTGAGAATAGTACCCTTATGGATTGCATGCTTGGTTTTAGTCTGGGGACAAATGAAAATCTTTGGAACGTTGTTTTAGTTGTGCTCCTGTAACCAGTCATTTTGAGTTTCTATGCAATAAGATACTTTATTATATCTGACAAGACTAAACTTAAATATATAAAATGAAACAAGTACCTCAAACATGTCATTAATGTTGACATGCAGTGGTATGAAACGGGAAGCTGTGTATATGGTTCTTATCTGCAGCAGACGAGTCTTTTTTTTTCTCTAGAACTGATTCAATAGACATAAAAATGAAAATAGGTAAGCTGCACTTGTCAGGCACATATCTTCAGAATGCACCCTTCACCTTCATTCTTCATTTAACAAATGTCTCTAGAGGTTTGCTTGATGGTTTTGCTTTTTTTAAAAAAGCAAAACTTATTATACTATTAAGATAAAATAATGAAAGCCAAAGTAGTTGATGATGATCTGATTTTATAATAATGAACTGCCCTGTACTTAAATGAAGGTGTGTGTAGAGTTTTATAAAGGACTATATTTCAGTTACTAACAACAGAAAAAATAAAAAAACCTTGGCCGAAAGTTAATAATACAAAAATAACGGAAGGAGAATTTCTCCCAAATCCTTTTCCAAGTAGAAAGTCAAATGGTTAAGAGGCTTAAGTGATTCAGGGCCAACTTGAAGGGCATATGGAACTGTCCTAATCTTGGGCCTTGTGATGTTTAATGTTTTTGAGAATGACTTGGATGATGTAAAAGAACAGTGTCATTACAACATCATGTAGACCATAATTATTAAGACCTTGAGATAATACCAGAACACACTTAAAGTAAACTTTACAGAATAGAGAAGTAGACCAGGTGTGGTAGCTCACAACTGTAATCCCAGCATCTTGGGAGGCCGAGGCAGGTGGATTGTGCCCCTGCACTCCAGCCTGGACAACAAGAGTGAGACACTGCCTCAGGGGGAAAAAAAAAGAGAAGTAGTCCAACGCTGATGAAGGTCTACTTGGACAAATGCAAAGCTAGAGGATGTTTCTGCTCCAGAGTTAAGCTACCAGAGTAGGAGGACAGGGAACACTTGGGGAGCAGATAAGCAGGGCCGCCGGGTATAGGCTGGATTATGCAGCAGTCGCAATGCTGCTGAATCATGGTACAGAGAGATCAGGGATGTTACCAAGTTGCTGAGAGGCCCTACCAGGGTCTAGCTTGGGAAAGCCTTTGTTTTCCCGGAACTGCTACTTACTTTTATAGACTCAGGGCTTGAACATCCTTCAGCAGTGGAACTTCACCAGACTTGCAAGAAACCAACGTGCACATTGGGAAAACAGTGAATGAGTTGTTTCCTTTCTCTGTGGGAAGATAGACCTACCCCACACCAATGCATGCTTAGTGATCATGGGATCCCAGCAAGGGGAGCTAATTGTTTCATTCAGACATTTAGTAACATTAGGCCGTAAGTTTTGCAATAGGGGTTGCTTTGTGTGTTAAACATGTTCTTCATAGAGCATGTTCGAGCATGGTTCCTTCTTGGTCAGTTGCTGCTCACCATTTTTTATTTGTTTTTTGAGAGGGATTCTTGCTCTGTTGCCCAGGCTGGAGTGCAGTGGCACAAACTTGGCTCACTGCAACCTCCACCTCCTGGGTTCAAGCAAGTCTCCTGCCTCAGCCCCCTGAGTAGCTGGGATTATAGACGTGCACCACCACGCCTGGCTAATTTTTGTATTTTTGGTAGACACAGGGTTTCACCATATTAGCCAGGCTGGTCTTGAACTCCTGACCTCAAGTGATCCACCTGCCTCGGCCTCCCAGAGTGCTGGGATTATAGGTCTGAGACACCACACCTGGCCTTTGCTCGCCATTTTTACGGCCACCTTGTATCTTGTCATCGCTCACTGACTCTATCTTGTCACTGCCCTTTGATGTATTTCCTACCTCTCCCTACCTTGAAATGCAAGGACATTTCCATATCCTTATTCCTTTCCTCCTATCAAGGAAAAGAAGTTGCTGCTAGCTTTCTGTGCTCCCCCTCCCCTGACCTGTGCTCTTGGCTCCACCTGTTCCTGTCTCCCACCTCTGACCCTTCTGCTCACTCCCTAGCTGCCACTCCTTAAAGCTGTGTTGTTCTCGTCCTTCTTTCTGCCTAGTATACTTTCTTCTCATTGCTAACCAGGAAGCTTCAAACCTCACCTCAGTGGTGATTCCTATGATGAAGTGTTCCTGTATGAACAACTCTAGCCTGAGAACCAGTGCCTGACTCCTCCAAGACACCAAACAAGAGAATGAATGAGTGAGTGAATAAATGGAAAAGTGAATAAAGGATGTCACCTATCTGAAGATGGTCCCACTGACTCCTCTAGCACTACCCACATTCTTGGCTGGCAGGTGTCATTGCATTGTCATGACTGTTTGCACAGTGGTCTCCTGAAGTCACCCCTGAGCAGGGCACAGACGTTTCCTTTCCCTTTTTGGTGATGCAGCTCCTCCTGGAGCATCTGGGGGCTAAAAACTCTGTAGACACAGAATCTTACATGCCCTTTGCAGTTCCATTAGTCTGTGAAGCATGAGTAGCAAATAACATAAAACAGCAACTGATGCATTCATTTTGGAAGGAAGCAGATGTTATCAGTAAATGATAATATAAAATTATAATGTAGTAATTTGGGAAGTTGCTCCTATTTGAAAAGCCAGAGAACAAGCAAGTTTGGATTTTGTAAAATGGCCTTTTTGGGGATGTGTTTTAGTCTTTTAAAATATTTTCATGAATGGAATGAGGAGTGCCATGAAGTCTGTAAACTTTTAATCAGTATCAGCCTTCACTGCTTTAGTTTTAATTTAAATTTATACTCCTGGGCCAACACTGGTTTTCTGCAGACAAGGCTACTCCAGGAGGTTTACCCTGGCACAGGAATGGGTATCCCACAATGCATGCCGTTCAGCAGGCTTTTTGTTTCTTCCAGTTGATTGATTATTCATCCGGTCTTGTTGCTTGCCTTTCCCTTTCTGTTTTGCGCTCTGCTTATTGGGATTTCCTTTTCACTGAGTTGGGTTCTACCTCCAAGCCTGTGCTTCACCTTCTCTCCTCTCTTATTCTGCTGTCCCCTATCTGCAGTGCCTTCCCCTTCCTCTTGAGCCCCTAGACTCTTGCTCCTTCTTGAGACTCAGCTTGGGAGGTGTGCAAAGGGGGAATCTTTGCTGAGCCCCGGTCTAGGATGGGGCTGGGCCATCGTGTGCCTCTCTATTGCCTTATTTTCCGTATTGCTTATAATTATTTACGGGTTAGATGTTTGTCCTTTGGCCATGATGGCCCTCAAAGTAGGTATGGTCCCTGCATTTTTAGCATCTAGCATATGTATGTTCCTATTCATATTCACAAATAAAGGTTTGAAGAAGTTGCTGGTGTCTGAAAACCCTCATCAGAATCTAGCAATGTTATCATTTGCTGCACACTTTATGGTGTACCAACCTTTCCCCTATTTTCTTCTTTCTAACATTTGTATTTTCTTTGCTGCCTTGGAGGCAAGGGATCAGACTCTAGGACTGTGCCTGCTTAGTTAAATTAATTGTTTAAAAATAAGTGCAGGCTGAGTGCTCCAGCTCATATCTGTTATCTGAGCACGTTGGGAGGCTGAGGTGGGAGGATCACTTGAGCTCAGGAGTTCAAGACCAGCCTGGGCAACATAGTTAGAAGACCCCATCTCTACAAAAATAAAGAAATAAAATTAGCCAGTTGTGGTGGCTTATGCCTGTAGTCCCAACTACTTGGGAGCGAAGGTGGGAGGATCGCTTGAGCCCAGGAGGCTGAGGCTGCAGTGAGCTATGATCACATCACTGTACTTCAGCCTGGGTGACAGTGAGACCTCCTCTCAACAACAACAAAAAAAGTAAGTGAAAGAAGGTAGAGGTAGCCCCAATATCCATTAACAGAGGAATGGATAAACAAAATGCAGAATGTATATCCCTGTAATGGAATATTCTTCAGCCTTAAAAAGGAGGGAAATTCTGACACATTCTAAAATATGGATGCAGTTTGAGACATTATGCTATGTGAAATTAGCCAGTCACAAAATGACGAATACCATGTGATTCCATTAATAGGTGGTCCCTAGCTAGAGTAGTTACATTCATAGAGACAAAGTAGAATGAGAGATGACCAGGGCTGTGGGAGGCAAGAATGGGCACTTGTTTAATGAGTACAGAGTTACAGTTTTGCAAGATGAAAAAGATTTGGAGTTGGTTGCACAACAGTGAATGAATTTAGCACTAGAAAACTGTGTTTACTGCTACTGGACTGTATACTTAAAAATGGTTAAGATGATCAATGTTATGTAAATTTAAAGTAAAAATTTAAATTTTAAAATTATTAAAAATAAAAAGTAAGTAAGGCAAAGTACCTGTTTGTATAAAGATTATCCTTTAAAAGGAAAAATAATGGAAAGGAATTTCTAT